AACGAACGACCTTCTGGAACGGATTGAGTTCGTTAACGAGGACCTGTATTTGTGTGTGTTTCGACCTAATATGACCTTCATTTGAGTCGGAAAGTGACCTTTTTTATCAAATTTTTTCGAGTTTTTGAAAAAATTAATCTAACATATAAAAAATACACCAAAACACACTAGAAAAACCTAACCTAACCTGACCTAACTGACTCTCACCATATGATGGAATTACCTATTTCTTACCTTAGTTGGCCTGGAGACCAGGTTCTTGTTAAATGGTTGGTTCTGAGATTCTTACACAACGCCACATATGTTGGTCTTTTATTACACTTTACTGAGGTTGGAAGAACACCATGCGATCGAAGAAATGCTATCGTCACCCTCACTACTTGGCGTCAATTCAACCCCACAGGTGCAGCGGAAAGAGTGGAAACAAGTGAACAACATAACATATGGGATTAATTGAAATATAGACCGGGCTGACCCCAAACTCCACTTTTTGACGACACACAACTATGTTGTAGTAAAAATTTTATCTTAACATGATGGTATGCACACACAATTAATAATTAAGAGAAATATCAATAATATTAGTTTTTAACACTTACATTAGTAGAAAGATGGCTGGGCACCACGGGGATGAGGGGTTGGTTTCCAGGCAGAGGGCAGATTATTGGCCCTCACCTGTATCACTTATCAATTGTATCACTATCCACCACAGAGGCTTGCAGAGCCTCTTTTCACAAACCCTCAAAGTCCATATAAGTCCATATCCTCACTATAATTATCACTATACACTGACTTGGGCCGGCTGTGGTGGGTGGCGGGTGAAGAACTCGGTAATGTTTTTGATGACTGGGCGACCTTATGGCACCCTGCTCGCGCCCGCTTACAACTAGCGGATGGCAGGAAGTTTGGATCCAAAAATGGTAGCTCCCCAGCCTCCTCACGCAACAAGAATGCAGCGCGCATCAGAATGTGAGCATCCTGGTTTCGGCAGGGTACCGTGTAGCGATGAAGCCAGCCAGATGTGGGACTGTAAAGCGAGGGTTGCCTGTAGTTTCATTTTTTCCCAAAAACTGCTAATCAGCTCCATATAATTTAAGTGACACCCATACTTGAACTTCATGGTCGGAACTGAACTTAAATTTCAAAATATAGAGATCCAAAAAAAATCGATTTTGATTAGTCAAAATACAGTACAGTACTCCTCTTTATCGACGGTTTTAGATTATCGGCGGATTATTTAGGGCCGGATTTTTACGGCTTTATTTGAACTCTCTTGGGCCTTGTTTTGTACTTTGCAGCGTAAGCGCACTAGTGTGACTTGGCGTCTGCATGACCCGCTTCCTGAACTACAGACATCCAGCCAAGCGGCGACAGCAGTCTTTGATTTTCAACTTTTGCTGGTGGTTCATCACATCAACTTATATGTATACCTCCCCAAACGTATGCTGCTCCTCTGGATCTACACCTAAGAGGCAAAGTGAGTCTTGGCGGCTGTGAATAAGGAAAGGAAAGTGCTGAAACAACTTCACGACAGCGGTATGAGCTACGCAGCTGTTGGCATACTTTGGGCTCACTTGATCCGGGTGATGCGTGGAATTAAGCTTTGACATGCAAAGGATCTGAAGCAACGCTTTGCTTCAAGTGCACCAGTGACACTCAAAGTGACAAGCCATGTCGTGATGATGCCCTCATTAAAATGGAAAAAGCACTGAACATTTGGATAGAAGGACCTAAACCGCCCGCCCGCGCCGCCACTTGACTCAAAGTTTATTGGCGAAAGCTAAGGAACTTTATGATAAGTTTCTAAAGGTGATGATCATGGTGTTGGTGATGGTGATGTGGTGATGATCAGGGTGATGGTGATAATCAGGGTGATGGTGATAATCAGAATTGATGGTGACAATTTGAAAAAATTTGCAGCTAGCAAAGGATGGTTGAAATTCGAACTTTATCGTTATGGAGAAACGCATAATATAAAAGTGACTGGCCGAAGCAGCATCAGCAGACACTGTGGCAGGGGAAGCATACCCTGCAGAGTTTACCGCTAACCATAGAACTCTAAAAGGGTTATAGGCCGGAACAAGTTTTAATGCTGATGAGTCAGGCCTATGGTGGAAAGATACCCGCGCCCGAACCTACATCTCTAAAGAGGAAAAAATTATGCCCCTGGATTTAAAGTTGCGAGGACGGTGACAGTGATGCTATGTAAGGGAATCTTTTGGCAGGGCATATGATTAAGCCCATGTTGTTACATACACTGCACTTACGACCTCGGGGCTCTCAAAAATAAAACATGAACTTTGCTACCAGTTTTCTACAGGAACAACAAGAAAGCGTGGATGACATCTGATTTATTAGTGGATTGGCTGAAAAACTGCTTTGCTAGAGAGGTGAAAAGATTCTGGGATGAACTTGGCATGGGTTCAAAGTGGTATTATATCCTAGATAATTGCGCCCTCTGAAAAGAACTCAAGACACCCTTACCCAACATTGAGGTGGTTTTCCTGCCACTTTATCATCAGCCAATGGACCAGGAGTCATTGTAGTGTTTAAGGCTAAATATGCAGAAGACTTTCAGCATGATTAAATTGAGTGCCTTGATAAGGATGCTGATGTTGCAGAGAAATGTGGAAAGAAATTTGATGTGCACAGTGCACAAACTTCATCGCTAAGCCACAATGAACTGTCGCCAGAACTGTGTCGATCATGTTGGAAATGGCCTGAAATTGTCCCAACATTCGCGGGGTTCCCAACAGCCGGGCTCAGTTAAACATAATAACTATGGCAAATGAAGTTGGGTGAAGGGTTCTCTGACTTAACAGCGGCAGAGGTGCAAGAAGAGTTATTGGAAATGTTGGGGATCCATTTACAAGTGATGAACAGAACAATTAGGTGGGCTGCAGGATGGAAACAGAAGATGAAGTGAGTGATGATGAAAATAAGAACTTAACTTTAGATAATCTTGTGAAGTAATAAGAGATGAGTAAGGCCCTCTCTGCTCGTCTCTATGACATTGATCCCTCCTTGATAGGTCCCTTTAAGCAAAAGGCTATTGAAAATGTTAATATTGCCATATATATAGAACAGCAGAGGGAAATGAGAAGCAAAGAAAGCACAGACCACCATCACCAACTTCTTCAGTGGCGAGTGCTGCCATCGCGAACCTGCGGCATCCTGCAACAGGAGGCAGAAGCTGCCGACACCTCACAACAACAAAGGCGGCGTAGAAGCTGCGGCACCTCACAACAACAAGGCGCAGTACCTGCCCACACCCCTCAAGAAGATGCAGACCTTGACTCATCATACTCATCTGACTGGTCCGGAGAAACACAATAGCCTCAATCATCACACTTGTATATACTGTACACTGTATTTGTTTACTACTGTAAGGACCCGATGTTCACTTCAATAAATGAAATCATTAAGTTTGCTAGTATTTTTTGTCCACTTATTATATTATTATTTATACACTATTATTTAAGGTTATGTGTAAAAGAAGCGCGGTAATGCTTAAAGGTGCATTTATTCAACATATGCTAATAATAGTTAGAAAAATTCGTAACCATCACAGTATGAAGCCCGGTTTTCTTTATCGTGGCGTCTACGAGCGTAACCCGTCGATAGAGGAGTACTGTACTGCAAATTAAACCAAAATCATTTAATTGGTTGCAAAAAAAATGCTTTGATTGGTCACGCTAACATATCACGGGGAGCATATGCGCATGATTTTGATGAAGGAAACGAGACGCGAGACACGCAGTGTTGGAGGTGAGGCAGGCGATAAATGGCAGTTAATGAAAGAAAATCGAGAAAATACTGTATTGGATTTGCTATCTCCGTTAATATACATTTCCGGCGGTAATGTAATAGATGAAAATGATCTTATAATTAGGCGTCTTATTAGAATATGATAATAGATTAGTGGTAGGAAATGGAATGTTTAAAGAAAATAATACCAACCTTTACCCCCACAATGTTAATACTGTACTTACAATTAGATTTATTGGACTTTTTATCTTAGTGCACAGTTCTATCTAACATAAACCTAATCAGGGCTCCGCCCCTGGACCCCCCTGATTAGGTTTGGTTGGTTTTGGGCAATTTCTATGGTTTTTACAAATATTTCTAATACCCAAAGAAAGAACGATTGCACTACTATAAACATGGCCGTTTATTAGTATTATTTTCTTGTAGCTCCGTTCATTCCTACCAAGGAAGGTCATATTCGGTCTCAGCACACACAAATACACTAGAAAAATATATTTTAACTTGCTACAAGTTTTATTTAGTGAAAAACTTAACATAGTAACTACAAACGAAGTAATTGTCATTAGTACGGGTCGACTAATTACCCAAATGTACCCCAAATGCAGCCGCAATGAAGTCAAATAATGGTCCTCATGAATAAATCGGACTGCCAATCACTTCTCGACTAGTATTTGGTGTTACAAAGTAAATAAAATTGGAAAACGTAATTTAATCTGAGTTAATAGATCGCTGCATGTACCGAGGATGAAGATTACCCAAATGCACAGCAATGAAGTCAAATAATGGTCCTACATGAATAAATCGACTGCCAATCACTTCTCGACTGTATTTGGTGTCACGAAGTCACAAAAATTGGTAAACTTAATTTAATATGAGTTAATAGATCGAGTGCATGTACCTAACCTAACCTAATTCTCGACTATTTGGTGTCACAAAAAAATTGGTAAACTTAATTTAATATGAGTTAATAGATCGAGTGCATGTACCTAACCTAACACAACTCAGATTAAATTACGTTTTCCAATTTTTATTTACTTTGTGACACCAAATACTAGTCGAGAAGTGATTGGCAGTCCGATTTATTCATGTAGGACCATTATTTGACTTCATTGCGGCTACATTTTGCTACATTTGGGTACATTTGGGTAATTGGTCGGACCGTCATTGTACAGCTGTGTTGAAGGTACAGCTATACAATGACAGGAAGAATCAACACTGCCTGTAAAATTTACCTGCTTCTCCTTGGTGCTCTTATTGCCACAGAGACCAGATTTGTCTTTGCTAGTGGCAGGTGTATACTTCATCCTAAGAACAGTGAGTTATTTTTATATTAGACTCAGCGACCTCAAGACGTCTGCAGCCGATCCTTCGCAACAAAGTACAGTTGCCACTTGAGGATTAAGGAGTCGAGTAAACATTATCTACAACTCTACATAACTAAGATAAACCTCTTTAGTTTTATATTTTCAAATCAATTATGTTTCATTTATTTATTTGTTTGAAGTAAAATCTCAATATATATTACTAAAATATTTAAAGTATAAATCTCTGCGACGTTTCCAAGTGGCAACGCCATCCTTATCTAAAAGACTCGAACGTCAACTTCGACTTTCATTTCATATTAAAAATATACTATACTTAAGAGATGCTTAATCTCAATATATATATGTTTAATACTTAATACTAACACATTTATGTTTTTAGTATTCTGATTTCTTCATAAGGTGCTATAATATAATAATATTGAACTTGTAAAATAAAGTCATAAACGAACAGAAAACCTTTATCAAACACCGCAGATGGAGGCTGCTTCTTCATGCCTGATTAGATTAAGTTGTTTGGGGATTTCTGGCACTTCACCTTTCAGTCATTTCGGCATTATAGCTGCTGTCTTCTTTCTTCGTTCTTCTTCTTTCTTTAGGGGGGGTCAATTTTGAGGTTTTTCATTCTTGGTCTTCATTCTTGGCTTTACACTTTGATGGTCTAACTACTCTCATGGACTTTCTTCTTTTTTCTTGGTGTTGTTGCTTGTTTTATGGTAGTAATGGGTTATGATATGAATTAGTGATATGACGTTGAATCAATAACAGTCCATAAGGAATAGCCAGTCGGGTGACAAGTTTATATATATATATATATATATATATATATATATATATATATATATATATATATATATATATATATATATATATATATATATATATATATATATATACTAGCGGAATTGCTTTCGCTAGGCCACGGTAGGACGCCACCCTCTGGGAGGCTCCACATTGTCTCACTGTAGTGCATTAAGGTAGACCACATTTTTGGTTTTGGCATTAGCAGCAAGTATTTACAGATTTTTGACAGTTCCCACTCTGGAGCATCCAACATAGAACTGTCCATGAGAGAAGCAAGGAAACACCAGGTTTAGGCCAACCATCTTTAGGGACTGTCCCTGGCTTTTGTAGATGGTCATGGCAAAGCTCACTTTAACCGGGAACTGAAGTTGCTTGAACTCAAATGGCAGGTCAGTGGTGATGAGAGGTATCCTTGGAATAAAAACGTCCTCTCCTTTAGCTTTTCCTGTCAGTATTGTAGCTTCCAGTACATGTGGCATCATGTTCTTCTTGCGAGTGACTCGTCTCTCATTTTGAGTATGAAGTCTCATTTCTCAAACTCTTGACCGACAATCAAGATGGGTACTTCGTCAACTACAGGAGCATTGAATCTTCTTTCATGTTCTCCCTTAGGGGTCGTGTCTGCTTTGATCCTGACTTTGTACTCGTCAGAAGGCATGTTTTCCAGGGCATTTTTAAATGACTGTACATACGTGTTGCGCTCATCCGGCATTTCTTGGATAGATAGGACAATGTCATGTCTGACACCTTGAATATTGCCACACCTGATGTAACGGGCCGGGTTTTCTCTTTTCAAAAATTTACCATCCAGCTACTGTTTTCTGTTAGTATTCTATTTACTCATATACTTATTTGTTCTGTGTAGCATTCCTCCAATGAATACCCTGTTTAATATACTTATTCTCCTTCCATTCTTTACATATATATTTATTCTTATATGTTCTTACTTATATTCTTATATGTTCTTTACCTCTATATACCTTATATTCTCATATATTCTTATATAAGTAACTCTTATGCTTCTCTACTTATGTTTTCCAAGTCAAGGTTCTTTCTTTTCATTTCCTTTCATATAGATTGTATTCTCAGTTTCAATGTTCTTACCTTTCTAAAGTATACTTTGTTTTATGTCTTTCTTATACATGGGTTAGTCTGGGGAACCATGTTATTCTTTGTATAACACTTTTTATACTTACAAGGGGTAGCTGCCACCACCCAGACTTTTCATTATATAACAGAACTCATGGAAGGGTTTTGGGTAGTGTGGTAGATGTATAGGCACGTGAGTAAGTATTATTTTCTGGGAACCAATGTTTAGAAGGAGTAGAGTGGTGATACTCAGATTACTAACTCAATATTTATTAATACAGTGAGTGGAGAAGATGCATCTTAGATTCACTCAGGCTAAACAGAACCGAAATTAACTTATTAAGTCATCAAACACTTCTAGAACTTATTACCTCATTAAACACCTCCAAATATCCATTACTTTGTTGGACACTGTTGTAGTATTTCTGTGACAAGTAAGATTTAGAAATGCTTACACACTGTCCATAACCCTGGACCCGCAGGTCTTACTTTAACAAGGAACAAATTACCTTCTCAATTCGTGGTTAGAACATCATACTCTCAGGTTATTCTTTCATGATTACTACAGATGACTACATAACACATTGGACTAACTCCACAATTATAGTAACATACAATACCTCCTTCACACACGGTTATGTGTCGGGTCACATCGAGGTGATATCGGACACCGTCGCTGATACTACGGTGATAGGCCTGAAGCACCTCCAGAAACTGGGCCTCACCAAACGCGGCCTGGGACCCCCGCCGCAGCTGCAGTACTACAATGCGGACGGTTCCCAGATGCCGGACGCTGTGGGCTCCTTTCAAGCGAAGATCACCTACGGCGACAGGTCGTGTCACGGATGGATGGACGTGCAGCCTACTCTCGCTACACCCTTGTTGTCGTGGGAGCACTGCAAGGAGTTAGGCGTGGTGCCCACAGACTTTCTCGAGCAGATCCCAGCCGCTCGGTACACCGCCAGCAGGGTGCGTGAGTCAAATAGCGACGTGCCTGGCGCTGCCACACAGAGCTTCCCAGAACCCGCGTCCACTCCCGCCCAACTTCCACCCAAGTCACGGCTGCTTCAACAGCAGGAGCCCCTCTTGTGCGACAACGAACCCATCAGGCCCTTCGAGTCCGTGTCGGTTAATTTCTTCAGCACAGCTGGGAAACATTTCCTAGTTGTCGCCGACCGACTCTCTGGCTGGCCTGTGGTGGTAATCTGTGGCTAAGACACGACGTCCGCGGCCACCATTCGCCACTTCCGGCACCTCTTTCGTGATCTGGGCGTCCCCGTACGCCTGCGGACGGACGGTGGGCCACAGTTCACCAGCCGGGACTTCACAGGATTCCTGGAGCGTTGGGGAGTCCGCCACATCGTGTCAACACCCCACTACCCACAGTCAAACGGCCATGCTGAGGCTGCGGTCAAGACAGTCAGGCACCTCATCCTCAAGGTGGCCCCTTCAGGCAACATAGACTGTGAGGCGTTTGACAAAGGACTCCTGGAGTTACGTAATACTCCCACCCACACAGGACGCTCCCCTGCCCAGATCCTGTATGGTCACCCTCTCCACTCTTGCGTTCCTGCACACGCCAAGGCCTTCGCGAAGGAGTGGCAGACCAGAGGCTCGGTATGACGACTGTGCCCGCCCTCTTCAGCTGGTGGAGATTGGTGCCCTTGTCCGCCTCCAGGACCCGACGACGACATGTTGGGACAAGGTGGGCATAGTGATGGGCATTGGTCGGTCGCGAGACTACAAGGTCAGGATGCCGAGCTGCTGCGTCTGGTGGAGGAACCGCCGTTTCCTCCGGCCAGTCCCACCCCCTGCTGCTGGCTCCCTGACCGAGGACGAGTCCCCTACACCTCAAGAGGATCCGTCCCACAGTGCACCTCGACGCTCGGAGCGACTTAGGACAAAGAAGTCCGCTCAAGACAAAGACTATGAGAGTGAGGGGGGGGGAGGGAGATGTAGGTTATGTATCTAAGCTACTGTGCCGAGTAGCAACCTTGTATATAAGCTACTGTGCCGAGTAGCATCTATGTATATAATTACGTGGCAACACTGCACTTGTTATGTGGCAACATTGTCCCGAGGCTGCCATATGGCAAGGCAGTCTCAGTCTGACTCTGTGGGCCGTGCATGGCACACGCTAGTCACTACTTGTATTTCTCCTATCCGTTAATAAATGGACTTCACTGCTACCCGGTGTTTCCATACCCATCACTGCCTTCTTCAGGGAACACTTGGAACCTTCAAACATGTCACCTCATAGACAGTGGAAAGTTACAGGGTGGTGAATCTGAATATAATATCAGATGTATTGACCCATTTATATAATATGTTTTGTTGATGAGACAGGGGCCCATTACATCGCTCGGTCACCTACCAGCCGAGCTCCGTGAGGCCTAAATAACTCACAGAGCACATTACATCCTAGACAACTAACCATATAGTGGATATGTGAGCCCCTCTGTATGGGTCCTAGCAGTAGCTAATACTACCCCTACATTATTGGAATCCCCAGCTTAGTGTCTACATATCTGTTTATAACATGGTTAGGGTTGTCTAGGATGTACTGTACTCTGTGAGTTATTTAGGCCTCACGGAGCTCGGCTGGTAGGTGACCAAGCGATGTAATGGGCCCTGTGGTGTTGGGGGTGATGGTAACTGGGGGTTGTTCACGCCATACGAAAGAATTTTGTTGACAGGACGTTGATTGATGAGTAGTCACAACAACTGCAGTCACGTCCTGTCACACCCTGGGCAATGAACGAATCATTTGCAGAAACTAATGTTCACTTCAGCTCACAGGATTGTTGCGTTGGTGAATTCCTCATTCTGGTAATGGAGAGTACTCTTCAAAATTGCAGGTACTATCTTCCAACTATTGCTGCTGTAATCACGCTGTGAAAGTGTGGTTGAGGTCAAGAGGTATCTCTGACGCACGATCCGCCTTCCTCTTAATAGGATTGGTGGACAACACTTTCGATCTAGCGGTGAGCATAGGTTCAGAATGGCTCATAGCGTTGTAGGAAACACCTTTAAACGTAATAGTATTATTACGTGGATGAACATCTATCATGTTCGTTTTAAGGGTTGGGAGACCTAGTAACCAGTCAGCTGGCAAATACTGATGAACTTACATAAAAGTCCGCGTAGAAGGGAGAACCACGTCTTGAAAATCT